CTCAGATGATAAGAACACCATGATTTTTAGCATATTTATGAATATGACCCAAACTAAAATGTCACTGGTGTATTTTAAAATAAATTTAAATACTTATGATTTAACATTAATGTCAGAGTGCAAAAAAAATTAATAAAGTGGTTAACACATATTGAATGCTTAGTACCTAGGATCTGTTAAATACTTCATGTGTAATATTCAATTGAATTTCCAAAGAAATGTTTTTAATAATATAAAAATGGGAGTAGTGAGGGCGCCTTCCCCACACTTGAGGATAGTTATCTTGGTGGACCCAGAACTTATCTTCAGAGTCACTCTAGACCTGTGTCTTCAGCTGCCACAATTTCCAAAAGCCACAGACAAGAGCTCAATATTCTGAACAAATGTCAATAGACAATATTCCTTTGTATGAATATGTTTTATGATCTGCTGTTTTAATAGAAAGTCTTCCCAAGATATTATTACCTCTGGTGTACATGAGATAGATACCAACTTTCTACTAATACTCAGATTCCTTATTTCTTTTTACCAACTCAGTTTAAGAAACCAATCAATACAATTTGTGACTAAATGATTGACTCTATAATATAGGTGCCTCAGTGGCAAGACTGAGGTTATGTAATTACAATACTGACTGCTCGTAGTTTATATATATATATATATATATATATATATATATATATATATTTAGAAAATAGTATAGTTTACCTATATAAACTAAATACTATAGTTTACCTAAACAAGTTGAACTTTATTATACAGTTTTTATGTGTGTCATGATTAAAACTTTTAATTACATTTATAACAATAACAGTAGATAAAGGAAATTGTTTCCTTAAAGCTTTGGGGAAAAGTTATGCATTCAAATACCAGTTGTGCTGTTTATTGAGCAAAATGGATTTTAGATAATCCAGCCTCAATGCTGTTATCTGTGAAGTGGCCCAATACTCACTTCAAAACAACTGCATTTGGGTGTTGTATAACTTAATGATTATTTCATGATCCCATTTTTTACAAAGCATTCTATGAGAAGCAATTTTTTTATCCTTTTTATTTTTTTTTTATTTTACATATTGATCCCAGTTCCCTCTCCCTCTCTCCTTCTCTCCCTCCCTCTTTCCCTCTCTTTCCCCCTCACATGCACCCCTCCCACCCCACCCCCACTCCACATGTAGGGTGATGCCCTCCAGGAGGGGGTCATCTAAATCTGTCAAGTCATTTGAAGTAGGGACTAGGACTTCTCTCCTGTCTCTAGGTTGAGGGAGTATCCCTCCATGGGGAATGTGCTCCCAAAGTCCTTTTGTGTACCAGGGATACTTCATGGTTCCACTGTCTGAGGTGCCTTAGACTGTCCAGGCCTTCTAGCTGAGACCCATGTTCAGGGGGTCTGAGTCGGTCCAATGTTGGATTCCCAAATATCAGTCTGGGAGCCCGTTATCTCTTCTCTGTTCAGGTCTGCTGTCTCTATGTTTGTTCAGCATGGTCTTGTCCTCTATCTCTGCATCTGGATTCTTTTTCAGCTCAGTATTTAGTTGTGGGTGTTTGCTTCTATTTCCAACAGGTACTAGATGAGGGCTCAACGATAGTGGATAAGTTAGTCATCGATCTCACTATCAGGGAAAGGCATTTATGATAGCCTTTCCACCATTGCTTAAGATGTTAGTTGTAGTAAGTCTTGTAGGTCTCTGGACATTTATTTAGTTTCAGTTTTCTCTTTAATCCTATAATGGTTCCCTCTTTTATATCTGAGAAGCAATTTTAACAAAGAAAAAAATCCATCCACAACAGCTGAAGTATATATGACATTTAGGTTAGAACACTAAGATAATTAGTTAACATTATATAAATAAAATGCAGTAATGTACTTAATACACTTACTTGTGAGTGAATACCACGTACCAAATGCAAAGTATCACTGGTTAATATGATAGTGATCATTGTTATATTTTACTGCACATATAAGCCTTTTGTCTGTTCATGTGGTAAATAGGAAGCTTAGTGGTAAACAAAACAAAATAAGAGATTAGTGTTCTTTTCTGTGAGTATTTAAACAATAGTGTTCTAAAACCGATGAAGATTCCTGAATTTGTACTTTGAATCGGTAAAGAGGATGGAGCAGAAACACCTGAGCAAAGGTACTCTTGGCTGCCCAGTCACTGGCATGCATTTGGAAGCTATGGCCTGCCTCTTCTACTTCAGAGCACAGACAGTGTTTATGACATTGAAAACTCATTAATGAAGCTCCATTCCCCAGGCCCAACAGCAATTTATGTTTCATAAATGAAACCAACAGCCTGGAAAAGAGTGCCCTGTGTGAAAAGACAGCTTCTCTGCTTAGTGACTCTGCTCAGGGATTAGTTCATTTTAAGTCTCTGAAATTCTCAAAATGAAGAGCCCTGGTGTCAATGCTTTTTCCAAACCAGATACTGTATTCTTATGCATTACCAATAAATTTGAGGAGGAAAAATAGTGAAGAAAGTAAAAACATAAAAGCCCAGCCCCTGGCATCCAAGTCCTAATATGTTCACAAATCACAGTTTCTTCTTCTTTTTTTCCATGAAGCTTCCAAGAATCTTTTGACTACTGCTTGTTTTTTTAAATTTAATTCACTTTTTAAAATGTGCATTTGTGCTTTTCTATGGATGCTGACAAGTGGTCAGTCCTCTTAACCACTGAGCCAATCTTCAGCCCCAACTACTGCTTTTTAATGGATATTTGGGAGTTAGTTTCATTTCTATGGACATACAAGTCCTACTTGGGAACTACATTTCCACGTAACTCAAAACATATTTATCCACTGATCAAGAGTGAATCATAAAATGAGCTTTTATTATCTTAAATATGAGTGCTCTAAAAAGCAGCTGCTCACCTCAGCAAACCTCAGCTTCATCCACTTGAAATTCTGACTCTTGGTTCTGAACCAGCATCCATCTAGCCATTTCATCCCAGTCTCTCCAGATAATTATTTGTCTTACTGCAACTTGCTTTTAGCATCCTCTCTTCCCACTATACCTCCAGTTCCCTGATGTGAACATGATCTCCTAAGATCTTTCCTGAAGCAGAAACACTCCCTACCAGGCAACTGGCAACCCCAACCCTTCCCAAAGATCCAGAGAGAGCAACTGAAACCAAGGCCCAGAAACCCGATCAGCAAAGACAAGACACTGAATCATGTAGTCATCACAGTACCAGGTGCCAAGACACTAGTTTAAGCCCTGCCTGCTCTGCATAGTGAGTTCCAGGATGGCCAGAGCAAAAAATCTGACTAACGGATAGATATGTGGGTAGGTAGGTAGGTAGGCAGATAGATAGATAGATAGATAGATAGATAGATAGATAGATAGATATTTAGATCTTGTAAGAGACAGAGGGTTGGGTGATACCAAAGAAACAGTGCCTTCAAATACAAGACTGAAACACATATGAATTCCCAGAAGCTATAGGCAGTAGAGATGAATGCTCTGGATAGGCACCAACTTAACCTTCCCCATATACATTGAGATATGGGGAAATAGACATGAGTTCTAATACACAACTAAAAACCTATCTCCACTTGACAACTGTTCACAAAGGAATATTTAGGTTCTCCAAGGGTGTTTCACAGGTTATGTAAATCCACACTTAAGGGAAAGCCCCATGATCAGCAGTCACTGGCCAATGCAAAATGGACTCAAAGATACTTGGAAATATTTTTTGCTCATATTGCTATCTAACTGTATGCAAGTTAATTGTGATGCATGGGCTTTGGGTTTGGATAGCTGCGTGTTTGAGTGTTAAGTTAATCTCAGGGCTAATTTGCAAGTTCTACATAATGAAGCATTTTATTTAAGCAATGAAAATGATAAACACACTAGGATAAACCTTTAATGGAGATGGCTAATGTGAACTTGACACATAATCTTTGCTCAGTGAATACCATAATTATGAGGTCATGTTTTATGCTCTTTGAAGGAAGACAACTATTATATACTGTGAATCAGTCAGAAGTATTTGAGGCATGGACGAGAACCATAAATCCTAGACAGCTTGGTTTTATAGAGGATGAACCAGAAATTTAGAAAAGTAGCCATAATTGTGTTAACTAAGTTGACTCTGTGGATTTAGTTACACACTTTTTAAAAACTATGTACTTAAAAAACTATACATTTTATATTAAGTTAGATTTGTATAGTTCCTATATGAAACATTGGCTTGTGATAACAAAATAACAGATACCTAATCTCATATTTTATAATTAAATTAAAGCCAACTTAAATGATTTTGTAGAATTAGTGACAATAAAAGGAAAATTGCATTTATCTTTTTGAAGTTGTGAAGGCAACCACCAGGTGGCGCTCCATGAATTGAGTCGGTGGTACTTCACAGAAAATTGATTACATTTTTCAAAGAAAAGTAATGTACGCTTTTTTTCTGAGTATGTTTAACTAATTTCCTTTTTTGCAATAATTAGTGAATTTTTAAATAATAAAATATTGTTATGAAATACAAAACACAAATGATTTGACTAGAATGAGATTTTTGTTTTGGTTTGGTTTTCTTTTTCTTTCTTGAGTAATAGTGCTAGGATTCAAAGTATGCCAACACACCCAGTTTGACCAGCTTACAATTTTTGATAAGCTGAACATATATCTCTGTGTGTGTGTGTGTGTGTGTGTGATGTAACCGACACTGCTCATGCCATGATGTGAGTGCAGAAGTCAGAGGACAACTTGTAGAGGTTGGTTCTTCACTTCCATCACATGGCTCCCAGAGAACTAATTCAGATCATCAGCTTTAAGGGAAATCATCTTCAGTGGATGAGTTTTTCAATTAAAGAATATTTTCTTTAAGCAACTTTACAGTTTACTAAGGATCATATTGCATCAATATATGTGGCTATAATTGAAATTGAGAACTTGGAAAAAATGTATCCTATTAGTCCGCTTGGCACTGAGAACTGATCTAATACTTATTTTCATTCCTTTATGTGCTTGTTTGTTTGTCTGTGTCTTTCACCCCAGTACCTGAAACTAAAAAAGGTGAAAAGATCTCCAAACCAGGTAAGGGTGCTGTTTGTCACTTGTATAGGAATACATGGTCTTTTTGATAAAGGATGGTTTATAATCAAGGCAAAGTAAACCCTTCCCAGACATCAAGAAAACAAAACAAACAAACACAGCAGTCCACCTTCCACATGTATTTAAAGTTTACAAGCAATAAGATAAAACCAAAACAGCCTTTTAAATAAAACCTATGCTTTTTTGGAGACAGCTATTGAGCATGCCCATTTAATCAACTGGAACCATTAGCAACCACAGCTTCTCCTTTGCATACGTATTATTTAAGACCTCATCAATGATAAAAAAAAACGTCATTAATTTTAACTCATGCTCACAATTCTGTTGAAAATGTGTATCACTGTGATATGCTTAACATAGGGATATTTTACATTAGAAACAATTTTTACAGAGAAAAATAAAAAATAAATAAGCACGAACAATATATTAATAAAATATAATCAAGCAGGAAACGATGAGAACATAGAGCACCCTTGGGGGCACTACATTGTCTGCAATTGTGTTAATGATTATAAAAGTTGCAAACATGTGAGAAGACAGTATTTTCTTTCCAAAAGTTACAATCATTTCAACCTGGTTACAATATTAGTGAAGAGTGTTCTAGGATGCTAGATGATCAAAGCATTTCAATAGTGTGTCACCATCAGTAAAATTCCCTTGGAGGTGGTGCATTTAAACTCTCAGGAGGGATCAACAAATCTGTCAAGTCATTTGGAGTAGGGTCTCGGCCAACCTCCTGCCTCTGTGCTAAGGGAGTATCCCTCCATTGGGAATGTGCTCCCAAAGTCCTTTCATGCACCAGGAATACATCCAAGTTCCATTGTCAGAAGTCCCTTAGACAGCTCTAACTGAGACCCGTGTTCAGAGGGTCTGAGTCAGTCCAATGCTGGTTTACCAGCTGTCAGTCTGGGGGTCCATTAGCTCCCCCTTGTTCAGGTCAGCTGTCTCTGTAAGTTTCTGTAGCCTGGGCTTGATCCCATTTTCTTATCATTCTTCGCTCTCCGCAACTGGATTCCTGGAGTTAGGCTCAGTGTTTAGCTGTGGGTGTCTGCTTCTGTTTTCATCGGCTACTAGATGAGAGCTCTATGATGGTGCATAAGTCAGTCATTAATCTCATAGCCTTTCCACGGTTTCTCGGATTGTTAGTTGGGGTCATCCTTGTAGGTCTCTGGACATTTCTCTAGAGTCAGTTTTCTCTTCAAACCTATAATGGCTCCCTCAATTATGGTATATATTATTTTTTTGCTCTTGTCTTTTCCTCCCCTGACTCAATATTCCTAGTCCCATATGCTCTCCTCTCCTCCTCTTCTCTTTCTCCTAATTCCTTCTCCACTGACTGCACAACCCACTCCCAATAAGTTCAGGAGATCTTGTTCCTTTCCCTTTCTGTGAGAGAACATGTATGAATATCTTAGGTTCCTCCTTGCATCCTAGTTTTTTCTGGCAGTGTGAATTATAGGCTGGTGATCCTTTGCTCTATCTAAAATCCATGTATGAGTGATACATACCATATTCCTGCTTTTGTAACTGGGTTACCACACTCAGAATGGCTTCTTCCAGTTCTATCCAGTTGCCTGCAAATTTCAAGATTCCATTGTTTTTTTTGTTTTGTTTTGTTTTGATTTTGTTTTCTTCTGAGTAGTATTCCATTGTGTAGATGTGCGACATCTCCTTTATCCATTCTTCAGTTGAGGGCCATCTAGGTTGCTTCCAGGTTCTTCCTATTACAAATAAGGCTGCTATGAACATTGTTGAACAGATGTCCTTGTTGCATGAATGTGGATCATTTGGGTATATGCCTCAGAGGGGGATTGCCAGATTCTGGGGTAAACTGATTCTGATTTTCCTGAAGAACTGCCATACTGATCTCCAAAATGGCTGTACAAGTTTGCACTCCCACCAGCAGTGGAGGAGTGTTCCCCTTTCTCCACATCCTCTCCAGCATAAATTGTCACTGGTGTTTCTAATTTTAGCCATTCTGGCAGGAGTAAGATGGTATCTGAAAGTTGTTTTGATTTGCATTTCCCTGATAGCTAAAGATGTTGAGCACTTTCTTAAGTGTCTTTCAGCCTTTTTGATTTCCTCTATTGAAAGTTCTCTATTCAGTTCTGTACCCCATTTTTAATAGGGTTATTTGGTGTTTTATTGAGTAGTTTCTTGAGATCTTTGTACATTTTGGATATTAGTCCTCTGTCAGATGTGGGGTTGGTGAAGTTTTCCCAGTCTGTGGACTGCTGTTTGGTCTTGTCAACTGTGTCCTTTGCCTTACAGAAGCTTCTCAGTTGAGGAGGTCCCATTTATTAATTGTTGATCTCAGTGTCTGTGCTACTGGTGTTGGGATGGGAGGAGGGTTGGGGGGGTCGGGAGATATGGGACATGGGAAGGAGGAAGTGAGGGAGAGGGATCGATATGTAAAATAAGAAAAAAAATCTTTTATTTTGCAATACAGAAGAGCCTCTGTGATGGGAAATTTACTACAACAATGGTGGAGACACTATTGACTTCACGCTAGAAAGACATTACCTCACTGTGTTTGCCACTTGTTAAAGATGTGATTTAATTGGCTTACCACTTCTAAACTTCAGTTTCTTTGTCGTTTTCATGAAAGTGGACATACTCACTCATCAAGGTTACTGTATGCAAGAGAGGTGTTGTTTGTTACTTGAGTTAGCTTTAATCGGTGGTAGCTGTATTTAGAAAGGAGCCTACAATCAAGGTTGAGTCTCATATTGGTAGGAGGCCAGAGGCGGTGGGATGAATGGAAGATGGAAAGAATACAGCAATAAGATGCAGCCATAGAAAAAGGGTTCTTGAAATCCAGGCCTGTGGCTAAGGAACCAAAACAAAATTGCGATCCTTCAAGACTTGAGTAAGGAGTAAAGGAATTGAGTTATAACAGCACATATAGAAACATCTTGCAGAACTATTTGTAATTGTGAATCTGAGCCCAAATTCTTTATAATAATCTGAGCATTACATAATAAAAATAACCACAAATAGAAGTCTGATATTGACAAGATATAATGATCCTAAGATATTCCTGATAAATTATTTACTCTGTAGTTAAGGTTCCTATTGCTGTGAAGTGATACCATGACACAGCATTTGACTGGAGTTGACTGGAGGTTCAGTCCATTGGTAGCATGCAGCCAGATATGGTGCTGAAGAGTAGCTAAGAGTTATTTGTCTGGATTGGCAGACAACAGGAAGTGTGACACTGCCTCAGTTGGGCATCTGAAACCCCAAAACTCAAACCCACTGACACACGTCCTCCAACAAGATTACTCCTACTCCAACAAGGCCACATCTCTAATAGTACTAGTCTCTGGTAATGAAGTATTCAAATCTATGAGTGTATGGGGGACATTCCTATTCAATCAACCACAACTTTTTTTAAGGGTGGAAAAATTTTCATTTAATACCCTCTTATTTTTTTGTATAAAAAGTACAGTTTTACTTTTTTTCCTTTTTTATTTAATTCCTCCCCTATCATCCCTATGAAACATCAGCCCTCCCCTTTCTGATCTCCAGGGAAGGTGAGGCCTTCCATAGGGAGTCTTCAAAGTCTGTCATATCATTTGTGGCAGGGCCTACTCCCTCCCCCATGTGTCTAGGCTGAGAAAGTATCCCTCTACGTGGGATGGGCTCCCAAAGTCCACTCATATACTAGGGATAAATGCTGATCCATTACTAGAGGCCCCCTAAACTGCCCAGTCCTCCTAACACCCACATTCAGGGGGTCTAGGTCAGTGCTATGCTGGTTTCCCAGCTATCAGATTGGAGTCCATGAGCTTCCCCTTGTTCAGGTCAGCTGATTCTGTGGGTTCTCTACCTTGGTCTTGACCCCTTTGTTCATCACTCCTCCCTCTCTGTAACTAGATTCCAGGAGTTCAGTGTTCCAGGCTAGTGTTTAGCTATGGGTATCTGCTTCTGCTTCCATCAGTTACTAGATGAAGGCTCTAGGTTGGCATATAAGGTAGTCATCAATCTCATTAACATGGGAGGGCATTAAAGGTAGTCTCTCCACTATTGCTTAGATTGTTATTGGGTTCATCTTGTAGATCTCTAGGCATTTCAAAATTAATTACAACCATGACTAGTGTTCAATATGGAAAAATTCTTTAAGAATCATTAATTATTGGAATCCATTGAAAAACATTAATGGCAATTCATCATGTATTCCTCTAGGAATATGAATAGGATGTGTAGAGGGCAACATTATTCTCCTTGTATATGTATGAAAGAATATATGCACATGACTTTAGTATTTTTATAATTTCAAGGTCTCAAGCATGAGATGCTCCAGCAGGAATCATTTATGCAAGTTGCAATAATGAAATTGAACAAGATATGATATTCACATGGAGGGGAACCTATAGATCCTGGAAAATAATCCTAATGGCTTTGAATTCTCAAACTATAATCATGAGTGAAGAGGTTTGCAGTAGAGGACAGGAGAACACAAAAACATTATTTTAAAACAATGAAAATGGAAAGAGAAAAGACCTGGAAAGGGCTGCTTTTTGGAAAAGTAAACAATGTGGACAGGAAGCCAAAAGTGCTTTAGCAGGAAACTAGGCAATAAACAGTTCTGGGCTCCCAATGTGAAGTAGAGACCTTTTCAAGACAGAGTTGAAATGCCAACAGTTAGAACCACCGTCTCTCTCAGAAAGGTGAAGAGGCAAGATGACAGAAAAAAAAATGGCTATTATACTTGACAAATAAAGCTGTCATCCATGACCTTTGAGAAGATGCTTTCAGAAGGGCAGTGGGAGTAGAAAACTTACTACAAGAGTTAATGGGGGAATTCACCCATTGTAACTGAACACAGAGCAGCCAGCTCTGTCTCTAGTTTATAACTCAGGGAAAACAATGAGATTCTTACACAGGGAAATCCCGAAATATTAATACTTGCATATTTTCTTTAGGAAGGGAAATCCTAGGAAGACGGGAACCAATAAGCCCACAGAGAACAATATTAA